GGGATAGGGGAAGAGAAAGGGTTTTAATTCATAAGGTTAAAATATGTCATTACTTTAAAATAATAAGGGTAAAGATGGAAAAAAAGTTAGGAAGCTAGTAGCTTATTTTGAAACGCTACCTAAAGTAGCGTTCCAAAATAAGCTCTTATTTTAAGCTAGGAGCTTATTTTAGGAACATTACCAAACAGAGCTTATAGCTTATTAGTAGCTTAAAATAAGCTATAAGCTCCTAGCTTAGCGTTGCCAAACAGAGCCTTAAACTTGAAGGTTACGAATTTGATCATTCTTATTAATACCTTTTCAGTTACGCCTGTCACACAAAGCTATGAAGGTCGAAATTTGATTTTTATTAACACTTTTTTAGTCAAGTCCGTTACACAAGCATACCTTTAAATAGTGACCGTGTATTTTCTTTGTCATCCAAAAAAAAAAAATCGGGCAAATAAGCTCTCTTTGTGGGGGAGAATTTCGGGATAACCCAGGTTCAATTCTCACAAGTGACGATTCCCTTTGAACCAGCTTCTATGCCTCTCGGAGCGAACCGGGTGGACCTGGACCGTTAAATGGACGATAGGGAAAGACCCGGACCACATTGTGTGGTTTACACCAAAAAAAAAAAAAAAAAAAAAAAAAAAAAAAAAAAAAAAAAACTCAAACGAGGGATGTGATTGTTGAATATATGCTATACGTAATGAAAACGTACCATATATATCATGCAATCATGCATATATTTGCATTCCTAAAAAGACATGTCGTAAATCATGTTCAAAACATCACCTCTTAATTCATAGTACTAAATTAGGGTTTCGTTTTCATCTAGTAAAACACTCTACCAATAAGGCCATAATCATAAACATAAAAATCAAACTGGGTCCCACATGAAGCTGCATTTTCCCTTCACTAAATCATATTTATATATCCTAGCTACCTAGTTGCAGTTATATAACGACAACTTCAATCTGTTCACTCGCACGTACACCTACACGTTCACTAATTTTATAATAATATAATTTTACAGCTATAAAATAATTATCTATTTCTTAGTTACCTAAATTCACTACAAATAAACTAATTATCTATTTCTTAGTTACCTAAATTCACTACAAATAAACGTCTTACTTTTTTTTTTTTTTTTTGTTTTTTTGATTAACGAAGGGTTTCGACCATCGGAGGTAGGGACTAATCCCCGACCTTGCTGATTGTAGGCACAAGTACTAAAGGTGAAATAGCTGGATTGTACTAAAGATATAAGTATGTTTCATATCTAAAATTAAGGATCTTTGATGTTTGATCTTACTTTTTATGTTCTTTACTAACTTGCTAAACGTATAACTAGAGATATTAATTGGATAAGTCCATTCAGATTTATGTTCTTTTTTTTTTTTTTTGTCAAGTTTAAAATTCTTGGTTTTAACCTTAAAATCTCAAAATGTCGAGCTTATCGACGACCTCAAATAAAATTTTTTATATTTTCAAATTATCATTCTAAACTTTCAATTTTAATAAACTAGTTGCATTTACCCTAATAAATATAAACTTAAACCCAATCAATTAATCTAAACTTCCATTTTCAAAATCCAGCTAAAAATAATTAATATATTTAAGAGAAAATTGTCAAATACACTCCCAAACTTTATATGAGAAGTCAATAAAGTTGTCAAACTTTTGAAAGTTGCATTTAAACACGTTAACATATTAATTTAGTGCATCAAAGTTCAAAAAACTGATTAGTGACCTACAATAATCGGTCATTAATATACTGGTGAAGTTTCAACAACCTTCTAGAAATAATCGGCGATGGCGCGACCAGCAAGTCGCCAGAAAAGGCGACTAAACTGGTCATCATTTTCATCGATTAGGATCAAAATTGTTTAATCCAAATCTTACAAATTTTTTATCTTATCCGTCAGTTGTAACCAAAGATTGGCATCCCCACTTATCACAAATCAATTAAATACGTAGATCGACACTAATCGTGATAAAAAGTAATAAAAATTATGGAGCTAAAGTTTTGTGAGTGGATCATATGGAGAGGTTGCAATCGTTATATCCTACACCACGGCGCACATAGCACTGTGCGCCGCGCGCCTCCCAAAACGACATCGTTTTGGGTAGTGTTGGGAGGCGCGGTAGGAAGTTGCTGAGATTATGTGTATTTGTTCACAACGTTATGTGTATTGGTTCATACAGTTATGTGTATTTTTTATACAATTATGTATATTCTTTTTATACAATTATGTACATCCGAATCAGAAAATTTGTGTGTATTATGTTAAAAGTTGATGTGTATTATGTTAAAAGTTTATGTTTATTATGTATTATGTTAGATTATGTGTATTATCTTTTAAAAAGAGTATGTATATTTTGTTATATAATTATGTACATTCATGTATAACATTATGTGTATTCTAGTATAACATTATGTACATTCTTGAACATCGGGTTTTTTTTTAAAGAAAAAACTACTGTCAGGGGCGGGAAATTTCAAAAAAAAAAATAATTAAAACGACGTCATTTTGTATCTGGATGCATAGTGCAACGCGCGCCGTGGGGTAGGATATAAATTGCCGAGAGGTTGTTGGCAGGCCATTATTGTTGCCGAAAGAGTAACAGTACGTGGTGGGCTGAGGAGATTGAGTCACGCTGGGTAGACTACTTGTCCGACACTTAAGCACTTATAGCGACGGTTAAGGTATTATAACCAATTGTTTAATGTGGCCTCGTCGTTGTATATAACGCGATGATTGAGACCAAAACAAATTTTAAGGTTATTGCGTTAGCATGATTTCATGTTTGCTTGTACGTGCTTCAGCACTTTGTGTTTGCTGCTGCAGAAAGTGGGCGTATAGATGATGAACAACGTTAATACTATCGTGGATGGGGCAATCCCAGTCAAATTAGTATAGTAATTAATCATAAAGTTTTGAATTTGACTCCTCGTAAGAGCTGTCTATTAGCTTTTTTCATTTGAACCGATCAACTATGAGTAACCTAAATTGATTTACCTTGTTGTGGTAGTCTTTTGTTGGTTAGGGTCACAAGACATGTGAAGAGAAATATACCCCGAGTATATCTTCCCTCGAGTAGTAGATACGGTTGGTATGCGACCGAATTTATGGGAGAGGTCGTTCCCAATCTTCACCGACCATAACCCCAGGTTGCTCGACCTAAAACTACACCCGAGTTGTAGGAATATTACGGTTGTTGAACGTAGCCTAGGTGTTGACTCCGACCAGGTAAGGTCGGGACGGACACCCTAGAAATCATTGACGAGTGATAGTCCCCCCCCGCCCCACCCCCCACCTTTTCTTAGTGGGCATTCATATATGAATCTTCATCCATGTGGTCGTCGATGCCCCGTTCCTGAGCGAGTGTATTGCATGTGCGACACGTGTTGGACATGCCGACGGCTTGTCATGTGTCTCCACCCCTCCTCTATAAATATCAATGCTTGCGGAGGGGATTTCTGGAGGCTCACCTACCACAGACATGCTCGGAACCCTTTGACGTTGTCCCATTCCACCGAATATAAGCCTTAAATCAACAAGAAGACTAGAGAATGATTGTCGATCGATCCGACCTTTGAACTTACACATATCAGTGGGGATCAACACATATACCACAACATGTTTCACCGAGAACGAATCATCGGATAGCGATTGCAAGCTAATTAAATCAAAGTAATAACATATTGGTGTTGAATATGTAGCATCTACTTGTCCAATCATAATATCATGGATTGAGGTTTACTATGCTCATTCTAGATATATTATATCTAGATTATGTACCTATAGTTAATATATTTCGTACTTCTAATTAATAGATTATGTACATATTGTTACAGATACATAATCAATTAACTAAAGATACATAGTACATAAAATGTTAGGTGCACGTACATGGACCAGGTACACAATATGCATAATAAACTATATCACTACTAATTGTCACTAACAACAATGGTTATACCTTTTGTTTGATTTTTGGTTTGGAAATGGCCCGAGACACCAGAGAAATGTTGAAAAAAGCCCATGTGTTTCTTTGCCCCATATGGGTTTCTTTGGCAAATTATTCTATGGACCTGGGTCATCTTGTAAGATGAACTCAATTTAAAAATATACAATTTACATATTGAATGTTTATAATTTACATTGTGAATATTCAGTATGTAAATTGTGAACATTCAATAATAAATTGTGAATTTTATAGTAAGGTGGACCGGAGTCTATAGCATAACTGTTGTCTTTCTTTTGGGAGAAGATAATATAGGCAAATTATATGTGAATCGTGGTCCACACAGCTGTGTGGACCACGGTCCAAACGATGTTGTTTTGAAGTAAAAAAAAAAAATTTGTTCTGCGTGCGTGTTAAAATAATGAGCATTCTAAGGGTAGAATAATGTACTTTATATGTGTTAATTTAATAAAATTTATGGGTAAGATCATGTATTTTATGAGTTAGAATAATGTATTTTATCTGTTAGATTAATGTAAAATGTATTTTATGTGTTAGAATAATGAAATTTCTTGTTAGAATGATGTATTTTACGAGTTAGAATAATGTACTTTATGTATTTTTGCACTTCAAATAGAAAAAGAAAAATGGAAAAACTGTGGAAAAAGAGAATAGGAAATCAGAAAACTGCACTAAACGCTTCTAAAAGTTTACAACGGCCCTGTTGGTAAAAAATTGGCCTATAGATCAATTTTGACTTATTTGATCACTATTAATTGTTTGATTTAATTAAAATATCAATAAAAATGTTTGATTAATTAGATTTTTCGCAACTCCAAAAGGCTAAAATTCAAAAAGCTACTCCAAGCAACTTTTTTAACTAGCTTTTTGAGAAAAGAAATTATACCAAACAGCTATCAGGTAACAGTTAATTTACCAAACACTTTTCTACAATCAGCTAATGTTATCAACTCTTTATACCCTCTAATTAACACAATCAGCTAACAGCTATCAGCCATTTTACCAAACATTTTACCAAACAGGGCCAACATTCTTATTTGCAATAGTATGGTACAATGCAGCACAACATCAAAGAACAATAAGTTCATAATACATATTGCCTTTCTATTAATAGCAATAATATTTACAGATTAATAGCAAAGTTCAGTGAGAAGCCTTTGATGAAATTGGCACATCTGCCTCATAATCGGCAGAAACCGCGTACCCTTCCCCACCTTTGATGCCCTCGTCCTCCAGGTAGTCTTCCCGAGCATTGTGCGCTAGCATCATCAAGACCAACCAGAAGAGGGACGAGTCGAGAGACAAAAACGCACCACCACCAAGAAGGCCCGTCTTAGCCGTGGGGCACCCGCCTGTTTGCAAGTCTTGATGAACGTTGTTCGTAATGTGAAGTTGCTCGGTGATTGTTGGCCATAACAGAAACGCTGCAGCTAATCCAGTCGTCCCTCTTCACATCACGATGAGGAAAAAGAACACCATAAGTAATCCAACACACAAAAAGATAAGGCGTAATGTTCATTGCACTTGTAAGTAAATCGTCATTTTTTTTTAGTACTACTGACTCTGTTACAATGCAGTATCTGTTCATAACTACTTTCTCAACCACTGAAGCACAAAGAGTCAATACCGCGCCTCAATGCAGTATCTGTTCATAACTACTTTCTCGACCACTGAAGCACAAAGAGTCAATACCGCGCCTCAATGCAGTATCTGTTCATAACTACTTTCTCAACCACTGAAGCACAAAGAGTCAATACCGCGCCTCAATGCAGTATCTGTTCATAACTACTTTCTCAACCACTGAAGCACAAAGAGTCAATACCGGAGCAACTTGGTGCCACTAGACCACAAGGTCCTTGGCAAGTAAATCGTCATTTAAGCCTAGCTTAATGCAAAAAAGCAACTATACCATAGAACCCAAAATTGTAGCAAGGTGCCCTTTTAGTTCCTCTATGTTGTATATATATATAAACCCAGCTAATATTTGATCAATTGACCATTTCTGAAATAATATGTACTAGTTATGTATACTCACATAGCAATATTGAAGAACACGAGGAAACTGGTGTTTTTGAAGAACGCAGACTGTGGAATAGACTTCCCCTTGTATGGATAGAATAGCGAAAAGTATCCAACTGCAGTGGAGGCCAACAGAAAGGCGACAGACAAATATCCGAGAACGGGAGTTGGATCGGACGGATACTTGCAAATGACTATGCCTTTCCCCGGGATTGCAGTACCATATGCAGGCTGCAGTTCGAGAGGACAATAGTAAAAACATCACACTTTTAGTTATTTATTTTATATCCTATAGGTCAAGGTATTCCAGAACGGAAGCTTTCAAACAAAATGTAAAAGTTAAAACAAAAACGTAACGGCATAGAAATGAACAAACCTTTTTGTTTTCGGCGACAACTCCAAAAATAAAGGATACCAAACCTAATGTTGCTATTATGATAGACATCTCCTTCATGCCCATTGCCATCTTGCCTTCAAGTTACGAGCACACTTCTACTAAGAATGTAGGAATATCAATCAACCAAGAATCTTGAAAATGAATGACAAAATGATATGAATAGATTCTCATAATTGGATAGAGTCTAAATTCATCCATAAGAAGCCCCAAGATCCCAACAATTTATTTTGAATTAAAGAAACTATGGCCTAAAGTACAAAAAGTATGTTAAACAGACCCAAGATCCTGAAATGTATAATGAAAAATAATATATCAACACAAAATTATGTCTTATAATTTATTAGGGTTTAAAAGACAACAATGAAGAATTGAAGAGCCTAGGTAACAACAATCTGCAATCTGCAAACTCTGATCAAGTAACCGTGCCATGAATAATGAAAATTAAGTTAAAATAGAGCCAAGATCATAGAAACGATTAAGAGCAAAGAATATATCAACACAAAAGTATGTCTTGCAATTCTATAGAAACTCAAATCCAACAATGAAGAGCCTAGATAACAACAATTTGACATACGGCTAATTTCAATTTTTTTTTTGGGTTAGCCCACGAGGTATCCTGAGCAGACCCTAACTGTAGGAAACACCTTTAAACCCGTACCATACTAAGACTAATCCTCATTTGCATCGGACCGGTCCAAATAAGGGGCAAGGTGCTGGCCAGATTGGTTTTTCCATACAAGAGGGGGATCGAACTCCCAACTTCTCTTAAGGGACAAGAGTGCACGGCCACTCACGCCAACCAAGCTGGTTAGGGCTACTCTCAATTTAAGCAAACATGAAATGGATGATAAAAATTAAGTTAAAAAGAACCAAGAACTTGGAAATGATGAGTAAGAGCAACAATATATCAACACAAAAGTATGTCGTACAATTCTATAGAAACTCAAATCCAACAATAAGGAGCTTAGATAACAACAATTGGACATATAGGCACTCTCAAATGAAGCAAACATGGCATGGATGATCAAAATTAAGTTAAAAAGAACCAAGAACTTGGAAATGAGTAAGAGCAACAATATATCAACACAAAATTATGTCTTGCAATCCTATAGAAACTCAAATCCAACAATGAAGAGCGTAGATAAGAACAATATGACATATGGGTATTTCTCAATTTAAGCAAAAAACATGTCATGGATGATAAAAATGAAGTTAAATAGAACCAAGAACTTGGAAATGAGTGAGAGCAACAATATATGAACACAAAAGTATGTCTTTGCAAATTGCAATTGTATAGAAACTAGAAAGTCAAATCTAACAATGAAGAGCCTAGATAACAACAATTTGACATATGGGTACTCTCAATTTAAGCAAACATGGAATGAATAACTAAACAGAAGTTGAATAATCTCAAAATCAAAGCTGGAAATGATAGAAGATAATAAAAAAAAATGTGGTTTTTGTAAGCATACCTGTTAGAGATGAAGAAGGGGATGGAGATGATGAAGGTTGTGCGGACTCTTTAATGGGTTGGTCGTGCCGTGCCAGCCACTTTACATCTGCTTGCGACGAGAGGAAGAAGATAAAGCAAGGCCGGACCATTGACTTCTCTCTCTCTATTTTAATTTGTGACTGTAAATTACTAAATTTCCCTTTTTAGGTGGCATTTTGGTTCCTAAAATAATTTTCCAAAAATAAAAAGAAAAAGTTTCAGATTTCTTGCATGATTTTTTTTCAATAAAGTCGCAACCGCGAAAGATTAATTTAACTACTATAAACCACAATATGTATTTTACAAGAATTTAGTAAAAAAAAAACTCGCATTTTCTATCATAGGTAAAACTTATAACTTATTTTAGAAGGTAAATAAACTACATAATTTGTTTGGTAAATAATGAGAATTTAAAATAATAACTTATTTCTTTTTTGAATGTAATTGGCTCTATCACAATGTAATATTTGTTCATATACTTTCTCCCACCTACTAAACACAAAGAGTCAATAATGCCTCCACTGAACCTCAAACTCACAACCTTCCAAATAAGAAGTCCAACCCTAGTACCATTAGACAACATAATCTTGATCTTTTTATGCCCTTATTAATTTACAAAAGATACACCATATACTCTTTATTAATCAAAACACTAATGGAGTTTGTTTGCAATGAAGTGATTAGGAATAGATTGTAATTCCATGGAAGAGGAACAATGTGTGAATAAAATAAAAATTTAAATTCTACCATTTGGTTTGTAGGAATAAACGTTACTAAGAATTTCAATTTTAGTATTTGGTATCCATGAGAATAGAAAGAAAATAAGTAATATAAATACCAAAATGCACATACTTATTATAGCAAACAAATGAAACATCAATTTTAGGTTAGCAAATAGAAAGAGTAATTTTGTTTCAAGGGTTTTTTTTTTCATATTAAAAATTGCGGATTTGAAACTTCTAGGGGGTAGGGGGTAGGGGGGGGGGGCATGAAACTCTGATTTAGTGCAAATGAGGGAAGTGGAATTGCAATTCCCTCCAACCAAACGAACAGTAATATCTTAGTCTATCTTTTTATGTATTTTTATACTTATCAACTCATTCAACAACTAATTTTATTAAACACTTTAATTTCAATTAGGTAACTTATTAACTATTAACTTCGTTCTCGTCTTTCAAACTTTCATCTAGCTTTTAGCTATGTGTATCAAAACACATCATATAGGCCCCTATGCGCATTACTGTATCGCTAGAAGCAAGTTTTAAATGAGATTTTTAATTTCATTCACTAGACTCATGCCCTAGGGCATGCAAGAATTTCGACTCTAAAGAAAATCATGTAATAAAATATTTTATAGTATCACGTCTCAACTAAAAATGTAATAATTTAAATATAAAAAATATTACATTTTCAACCACTTACACAATTTATAAAACATTATAAATATATTTATCTAATTTTTTAAAATACGGTAAAAAATTTTCAAAGATTTTATTACCACAAAAAAAAAAAAAAAAAAAATCAGAGTTAATTCTATTTATATATGGTCCTAAATTTATAGGTGACGACAACCCATTTTTAGAATTTTTTATTAGAACATTCACTTTTGATCATAGTATTATTGTGACATAACCATTTTTGATCATCTATTAACAAAATAGTTTAAATATTGTTAAATACAATGACATTTCAGTCTTCAATTATGAATTTTTTTAAAAAAACTAAACATAATAAATATAGTGGGTCAACCCCTACTTTGTATTTAAAAAAAAAAAAGATCTAAATATACTTGTATTTTACGACATTTTAACGATTTTGTTAACGAAAGATACAAATTATAATGTCACAATAATACTAGAACCAAATAAGAATGTTCTGATAAAAAAACGACTAAAAATGGACTGTCACCTATAAATCTATGACCTAAAATAGAATTAACATATGGAATATTACATTTTTTTTTTGTCCGAGTTATTGTTAATAGCATACTCAATTCCCGTGCTTTAGACATTACCAAATTTAGTCATTGAGTTTTTAGCAAAATGACATCTCAACCTCTTTATTAATACTTTTGTCAAAAAAAAAAAAAATGGTACTTTTCAAAAATCTTAATTAATTTGGGTTAATAAATAAAATTTCACCTCATACTCTTCTTTTGCCCATAAATTGCATGATTTAGTGATCAGAAAGACTTTTTTTTTTTCACACATTAGTGATTTAGTTATTAGCTCTTTGTGTTTCAGTAGGTTGAGAAAGTATATGAACAGGTACTACAATGTAATAGAGCTAGTGGCATTCAAAAAAAGTTTATTTTTCATCAAATGTAATGAGGTTCAATTACTTACATTTTTACTTTTTTTTTACTACTAACAGAGGTAGAGTAAGAAATATTATTAGATGGGTGCGAAAACTTAAAATACATTAAAAACGTTATTAATAGAATATTGAAAATGTATGTAAATGTATGTACTCATCCCAATATGGATAGTTATGATGTGGAAAGGTGTTCATCATGCTCATGGTGAATACATGGACATATTCATAATTTCTATACTGATTCATAATTTTATTTTATTTTTTGAAAACGTAAATTCATAATTTTGTTTTTCATTTGTTGTTAACGGGATAGATCCATAATTTCTAAGTTGTAGATTCATAATTTCTATACTGTAAATTCATAATTTATGTACTGTAGATTCATAATTTTTGTACTATAAATTCATAATATCTGTAACAACAAATGAAAAACAAAATTATGAATCTACGTTTTCAAAAAAAAAAAAAAAAAATTTATAGTATAGAAATTATGAATCTACCATTGTGTTCACTATACACATGGTGAACATGTTTTCACAGCATAATTTGTGTCCCAATATAATATAGGCTAGGCTGCCTAGCCAACCAAAGGAAGGAGGGCAAATATAAAGAAAAAACTCATGGTGAAGGAATGTCCATGTGCACCCGTCCATAAAATCGGATTAAAGTCTCTCTCTCTCTCTCTCTCTCTCTCTCTATATATATATATATATATATATATATATATATATACACACACGAATTATGAATAAGTGACCTCACTAGTCAATAAGGGGACATATAGTCCCGAAGATGATTAAGCCCTAGAGCATGCTTACATGCATGTTATAATGATGTATTATGAGTATAATGATTTTAAAATCGACTCTTAGAAAAGTGTAATAATCACATTGTATCCAGATGGTATGTAATGACTATTTCATATTGGAGGTTATGAGAAAATATAGACGATGAACAGATACTACAATATAATAGAGTACGAGTATTACTGAAAAAGAAAAGTGTAATTACACTTGAATAAATACTCTCTTATTTAATGAAAAGCGGAAAATTTTGATTGTTAATTCTCTAAGCAACTTGATAGAGTCAGCCTCATGACACAAGTCTTAAGTGATTCAATAGACCTTCGATTTTATTACAAGGGAAGGGAATACCCAAACTACTAATCGCCTCCACTAAAGCTCCCACTTAGGGGAGCAACCGGATACCATTAGACCACAAGGTTGTTGGTAATATTATTTTGGTTTAAGACAACTAATTGTGTCCTTGGTCTCATTTTTCCTTCTGTACTCACTTGAGTAGTGATTTTATTGGGACCGGATCCACCATAAACCGGGTATAGGAACATAGGACGGGAGTAGGAAAGTAATAACTTTAATACCCGGGGCGCTAGGCCCAAAATAGTACATACAAAGCCCGAGGTACATGCCCAGAATGGAGGCCCAAATACAAAGAACGCGGCCCAAGTAATGGGCGCACTATAGCTAGATATGCTACTGAGATGAATCGAACCCAAGTGACTGGGTTGAAAGTATAAACCAGAGACCACTAGGCCAAGGTGTCTGTTGTGTCTTGGTTGCCCCTTGCTAAGGATCCAGGACCCCTATTTATAGGGTTGTTAACGAACCGAACATAAACGAACGAAGGTTGTTCGTGTTCGTTTGTTAAAAATTTTGGGGTGTTCATGTTCGTGTTCGTTTGTTAAGGTTTTTGAAAATCTTGTTCGTGTTCATTTGTTAAGCGTTCATTAGTGTTTGTTAACGTTCACGAACACGTTCACGAACGTGTTCGTTTACGTTAATGAACATGTTCGCGAACGTGTTTGTCAACGTTTGCGAACACGTTCACGAACGTGTTCGTTAACGTCGTGAACGTGTTCGTAACAAACATGTTCGTTAACAAACACGTTCACGAACATGTTGGTTTACGTTCATGAGCACGTACGTGAACTTTTAATAATCAAACACCTGCATATGTTCATGATCAAAATTCGTTCGTGAACAAGAAATAATCTACGTTCATGTTCGCAAACATTGTTAACGAACACTAAACGAGCTTGTTCACGAACATTATTAAACGAACATAAACGAGTTTGTTCACGAACATTATTAAATGAACACAAACGAGCTTGTTCACGAACATTATTAAACAAATACAAACGAGCTTGTTCACGATCTCTTAGCAAACGAGTATACAACTGTTCAAACTCTGTTCGTTTATTAACCGAGCTCTAATTTTTGTTTGTTAATGGTTCGTTTACCTTAACAAACGAACATAAACGAACGCTTACCGAACACGAACACGAGTAGTTTGCCGAAAGCTCTGTTCGCTAACACCCCTATCTATTTATAGCATGACCCCCACACCTTGCACCGTCCACGTGTACGCCATCGGATCAACACCCTTCCAACAACGCCACATGTCTCACGTCTTCACCCACGTCTCCAACTTCCCACGCACCTTCTCTACCACACCTCCCTGCCTCTCGCTACCACCCCAGCCGGGGGCGCAGATGGTGAGCTGGGGGGCGCATGGTCCCCGCTAATCACGCCACGCCAGGAAGTCCGACGGGCTCACATTACTAGCCATGCACTAGCCTAAAGGGTCGATTACCAACCCACATATCGTACCGTACCCCTCCACAACCTACTGCACCAGTCCGAACACCGCAACGCACCGCCTCGAGAAAGGGGGGTGCCGTTGACATTCCTGGGGGCGCACCACCTCCGCTGGCCGCACCGTGGCCTAAGGTGGCCGGCCGATCATGGCCGGCGGTCAAGGCTGCCCGCCTGAGAATATCGGAACATATATAAGGTCACGTGCTTTGGTAAACAAGTGTTGGTGTGGGCTAGTGGTTTGATGTGTCCTTGCTATATCGGAGGTCCTCAGTTTGACCTTCAGTGGCAGCACTCAATTTCCCTTTTACATAGCCTCATCCCCAACTGCTGTCTTTATTAGCGGCACCGCGACAGAGGCGCACGCACCGGCCGGCGGCGGTTCTCCCCCGGAAACCCCTTCTCTCTCCTCCTTTGTGACTTTATGGGCCACCATACCCCTTGTCCTCTTAGCCCAATAGGACTTGGGCCGATCTCATTTCTTCACCACCCCCACTTGGGTCAATATTTTGCCAAAAAATGGACCCCCGGGGTCCCATATCCCCATCAAGAGAGAGAGAGAGAGAGAGAGATGAGTTCAGGGGCGGTCGCGCCTTCTCATGCGATCAAAGCGGCCGCACCAATAGTTATGCAAATATACACCATCAACGTTAGGAAATGCACAACAACAAAATGCACAAATTAGGTACGCATCACCAAAAACGCATCATGAGGTAGGAATAAAAGTACCACACAATATTCAGAAATGCAGCATTAAGGGTGGGGAGTTATATGGTGTATTTTTGGGTGTATTGTGTATTTTTTGATGTATTTTTGCATTTCATTGTTGTGTATTTTTCTTGGTGCCTTTTGTTAACACTATTGGTGTATTCTTCAAACGGCTGCACGGGACGGCACGATCGCATTTAAGCAAACTTCTACACACACACACACACACACACACACACACACACACACACACACACACACATATATATATATATATATATATATATATATATATATATATATATATATATATCATAGCCCAATGAAGTGGACTCAAGACGCTGCGCGTGAAGCTAGCACGCGTTACCTCATTAGCGTGTGTTAACCAGGCCACGCACCATGCACGATGTCAGAGTTACTCCGAAGAGAATAATCTTTCTATCTAGAGCAACTTATTTCCCTCTCCTCTAATGCTTCTCTCCTCCTTTCTCCCCTTCTTTCTCCTTGCATTGGAGAGACCTAAGTTACAAAAGTTTCTTAATCTACAACAACGAACATATTTTCATTCTTTCATATAATAGAGGCTGGGATTTCACTTAGAAAATAAAACATTCCATATTAACATATTTGGATCCATAACCATGGAGCCCAATCCATGAAATTTTATAACATTTATCAATGAGTTCCTATGGATTAATATTACACAAAAGAAAATTAAGAAATCAATTATAAACACTATTAATGTCTAAATAAAACATTAATACGTCAAGCACATCGAAATGATTAAAGTTATGACTTTTTATTTGTTAAATATGAAAGAATTTGGGGTTAGGCTCTCCCCACTTGCATCCATATGAGTGGGCCAAACAAAGAGATTCTCAATCGTATTTTCATATTCCAAATACATGATGGTCCATTGTTTAGACCATACTTTCTGCATTTCACACTTCATAAGCCAGACCTAACTTTTTGACCGAGTTTAGTACGGTCAGAGCTGATTACCAAAAAGACAAACTTTTTTTTTAACTTTTTACTGTTTTAGAGCTTTAAAAATTAACTATTGCATCTCATTTAATTTTAGAACAATTTTACTCTACTCTTATTTTCTACAGTCTATCATATGACATGTTTTGATTGCTTATTATAAAAGAAATTATAACTTTTATCTATTTTTTTTCTCCAAGAAAATTTGAGCACTTATAAAAGTAAAAATTGGAAGTAAGTTTTTGGACTTCAAGTAATATTTTTGTTAATTTTAACATTATGTTTTAGACTTATTTTGTTATTGATGGAACTGTAAAAGTTTTGACGAATTTAACTATTTTAGCATTTTGACCAAGTCAAAAAACGCTAAAAATAATATTTGGTAATCAACAATTTAAAGCATCATTTTTAATGTAAACCACTAAAATTTAAAACGTTACTTTTAGCCGCATTTGAGATTAGTGTTTTGGTGAAATAATTTTCTTTTTTTCAGAACACCCTCTTAGAAATATATTTTTAAATGAATTATAATTATTTAGAGACTTAAGACGTACTCATCTTTTGTGAATCAAATGCTCAAAATGAAGTAGGGGCGTTAAGCTCATCGTATAATGGAGCTCAATGCCACTCTTTGCTTTTTTATGTGCAATCCTTGATCTCGGTGCAAGCTCCCGCTTAGTGTTTATTATTGTTGTTGTTGTTGTTGTTACTTGAATATTATAGATTTTCTTTATATATTAATCACTAATAGTAAAAAACTAATTTCACTAAGTATCTCTTTACAAATGGCTAATACAATATGTCAATTAAAATTTCTAACACAATCTATCATACGCTAACCAGTAACCACTAATTGTTAACTGCTAACTACTATTTGTTAGATTGCTAAAACAATCTATCATTCGCTAACCAGTAACCACTAATTGTTAACTGCTAACAAGTATTTGCCTAACAAATTCATTAGTTTTGATTGTATCATACGCGTTCACTGGGTGGGCAATGAGACATACTGTTTGACAAAAACTCACAATTTGCAAGAATAAAATTTTCTCAAAAACTTCATCCCAAATATCTGTAAAAATCATGTCATTGTTTTTGTAATGTTTCAAAAACCTCCAAAAAAGTATTCTTATGGATGCTCTAATGGTGTTGAAAAGAAATGTGATGAAAGACGTGTAACAAAATTATGCACTCCGATCCGCGACTAAAAGGGGGGACTAGAGAAGATTATATTATATTTTCCATGTAATTTATCAAAAAGTTGACCATTCTTTTGTATCTTGTGTGTTTGATCTGCTTTTTTGCAGCTGTCACCTCACCCAACCTCTCTTCCCCCATCAATAATAATACTCCCATTCTTTTCTTCAATTCCCCCTCTTCCTCTCACAAATCACCATATATACTCTCTTCATTTTCCTATCTAGCTTTTCATACTTACAATTTTGGAGCATATATATACATATTTATGGAGCCATCTGACGATCAGCCCCGAACCTCCGACCTTGCGTCATCTTCCGGCGAGGGATCACGTTCCAGGACGCCGTCGGCTGCCGGACCGCCGGCGCAGTCTCCGGTTGGGTTCATGGGCAAGCACCGGATGGCCGCCGCCGTCGCCTCCCTCGATCACCAAATTCAATTGATCCAGGTCTCTCACTCATACATATTTCGCTTCTTCCTTACTCTTTAGAATGAATTTTTTACTTCAAATTTAATCCAAATAATATTAGTTTTAGGGAATTTCTAAAGTTTCAATCAACTTTATTGTGTTTTTTTTTATCAATATATATAAGTATATATATTTTTAAATTGTGTCGAATATGGTTAACATATGTTTTGTCGATGCTCTGTACAATTAAATATATCATCATGCAATTGTATTGTATTCTAAAGAATCTATATATATTGATACAGGAAGAGCTGCAGCGACTGGAAACACTCGGGGAATCTTCAATTGTCTGCAAAGAGTAAGTACATACCATGTTAATCAAAGTATTTGTATCTGACTTTAGCCTACACTAGCTTAATTTACTGGTTTAGTAGATAATATTAAAAAAAATTAAAGTTTTAATTTACTGTGAAAATTGTGTCTAAAATGAATAAATTTTTTATATGTATCAACATTTAACCTTATTTATTGCATCATTAAATCACGGTGATTTACTCATTTACATCATCTCAAATGTTCTGTACTTCTGTGGAACCCTAAGTAAAAGGGCAACAAACGTGTTTTTTCTTAGTTTAAAATTTTATTTTATTTCAACTATGATTTAATGAAAAATCAAAATTCATTGTGAATATTCAACAATGTTGTCTCAACTAGTCAATTCTCTAGTACCAAAAATATTTATGTTTGACCAACTTTAATGTGGTCTAAGACAGGCAACAAGGTCATAACATTTTTGTTACATTTGCTAAGTGTAATATTATATATAGAGTTGTACATGCACTCCCAAATCTTACTTTCTAAATTTTACTTTTTGGAGTGGCGTACATTGATAAACTACTTTTTTCACGTGAGTTCTAATACAAATGTCTACATCAAGATTTGGTGTGTGGGAGTAAAAAATGAGAATACACATAGTATTTTCCATATATATGTATTTCTAAATCTTACTTTATTTTTTTCTTCTTTTCTTACATAACATATTTTGATTCACTCATAAAAAAAAAAAAAAAAAAAAGTGACTTACAATTTTTATTATTCTTTTTCTATTCTATCAATAAAATCACGACACGTAACAAAAATTTTACTCCATCATAATCCTATATAATTTTCCCTTTGCTAACTCTTCCTTATACCTGTAGGCTGGTCTCCAGTGTTGAATCCGTTCCAGATGCTCTTCTACCAGTGTAAGAAATTATGAATTACTATTACTACTCCAAATATAATAACTTATGCTTGAGTAAGTCTTCTAAAAAGACTCTCATATAAAATGTGTAATACCTTTTTAAGCATTTATAAAAAAAAAAAATATTATACTTCAACTAAAAAATATTCTACATTTGACATCTCATGGTGATATGGTCTTACATAAGACTTATTGTTTAAGTAATTATCAATTTCAGAAATATCTCCTCATCTCATTTTAATTGTCTTATTTCTCATTTAGTAATTAACTTGAATAAATTGTAACATCAAGTTTGAAACTCTCAAAATTTATAGTAAAAATTTAAAGAGTAGTGATATTTTTGTAAATAATGAAAATAAAAATATTATTCTAAATCAAAGAACTTGTGGTCAAGCGGCATAATTGTTGCTCTCCTAAAATTGTAACAAAATATACAACAATATATAATTTTATTAGATACAACATGACACTAATATCAATTGAGATAGTAACAATTTTTGAATGGAAATGATGATGCAGGACCAAAGGTCCAAAAGAGGTTGGCTGGGATAGGTGGTTCCAAGGAGCCAACGGATCGAGGCGTCAAAAGAGATGGATTTAATATTTGGATGATACTTTAGAATTTTTTAAAATTTTTTTTATAACAAGGAAAATATGTAGTTATTATCTGAGGATTAAGAATTTGTACTGGGTAAATTAGAATTTTTTTTAAATAAGATTTCATGAGAACTGAAGATAAACAATTGCAAAACATTATTATTTATCTGCCACACACAAATTTTCCACTTTATCGAGATTTTGTATTACTATACTAAATAATCTCATCTTTAATTTCACATAAATTTTGTTTCCTGTCCTTTTACTATTTTGTGTTGTTGTTATTATTGTTGTTGTTTATATCACACATTGAACAGGCAGTGGAGATGTTTGGTAAATAATTGAAAGTTTAATAAATTACTCGTAAATTATTAAACCATATGCTATAGACGACGAAAAGCCGTGTACAAAAATATGACAATTCGATGGACGACGGAACAGATTCCATCGCAGGGAAAGGCGATAGGATTTTGCATAGTTGTGATTCACGATTTTTCTTATAGTGGCAGGGGTGTGTTTTAAAAAAAGTCACCCGATGTGGGTTAGAGATGGAGGTGACTAGGTGAGTGAAAAAAATATAAGATGAGTCGAGTGATAGATATAGTCCTCTCCGTCCCACCCTCGACCCATTGCCATCCCTACCCCTCCCCTTTCACCAAGCCAATTGGCCCAACTCCCCCTAAGCCCAATTCCATATATAGTCCCCATTTTGTTAATTTACCACATTTATACACCTAATACGGGCAAATTATGATCTGGACCCGGGTCCACCTATATTTACAATTTTTTAACTTTATATTCATAATTTTTGAATTCTATATTCACAATTTTAGAACTCAATATTCACAATTATATAACTCTATATTTACAATTTTAGTACTCAATATTCACAATTTTAGATCTCAATATACAAAATTGAAGAACTCAATATTCACAATTTTTGAACTCAATATTCACAATTTTTGAACACTATATTCACAATTACAGAACTCTATATTCACAACTAAAGAACTCTATATTCACAATTACATAATTAAATATTTACTCGCTGAGTTGTTTTCAATAATTTATATTTTAAGAAAAAAATAAAAAAAATCATTGACTGCGGAAACTGTGCCACTAATGATACCGTTATTTTCACACGCGTAAACTACATCATTTTGAATATGGGTCCATCTTGCAAGGTGGTTCCATGTCATAACTATTGCCAAATACCTACCCAATAAACCCATGACCCTATCACTATGAAAAAATAAAATATTGAGTCCAAATCTGTCAATAGCATTGTAATTGCAAGTCCAAAAGTAAAATATGTTCGAATATAATTAATTATTATTAAATATTAATAAAATAATATATAAAATGACGTGTCACTTCATCAATTAAAAAAATGTGACAGTAATAACGTCAATGTAGTATCAGTAAAACTAATAGTCATTGACTAAATTGAACACAAATAGTTAAGTGTTTTCGATATTTCTTTTTCGAAAATAAAATTCCTAACTTAAATATTTTTTAAAAATAAAATAAAATAAACTCCATTATTGTCGATCTTAGGATTTCAATTTTTTTTTTTCTTTTGCGGTCCCTCCATGCCCCCTTCTGCTTTTTCAACTTTGTCTTTTTTCCTAAAATTAATAGTCTTTGCATCAATATAAGTCAATTTTTTTGTTCTCATAATCTCGTGTCCCATACGTTGAAACATAGTTTGTCTCCTTCCCATCCGATCTAGTAATAATATAGACACTTGATGCATGTAAAGTTTTAGTATATTACATAGTTATTGTTAGTGTTTTATAGAATTATAGATTATAGATTCATTTTAATTTATAATACACTAAAAATTAATTTACAGTAAATTTAAAATGAACATTATCAAAATACAGTGAATAGAAAAACATGTAGTTAAATTCAACAATAATAATAATAATAACTTACAGTATACAAGAACATATAAATAAGCATCTAGATTTACTATACAAAGTGAACTTCGAGTGCATGATATAATTTGGCAGGTTAATATATTTATTTTTATAAAAATAATTAATTGCCAATTAACATACAAGCATTAAACTATAAATATGTTTCATGTTACGAACATTGAGAGTTTTGGTTTGAGATTGACTCATTGGGCGCATAATATACAATTTGATGTTGAGTCTTAAAATTATATAGACTCAATTTACTTTTATAGGTTTCATGATATAGAGAATTTGAAAAATTAACTTGAGTTATAAAAAGTTTTTTTTTAAAAAAAAATATATAAAAAATTGTAGACATATCGTGCTAGTGGGACTCTAATGCTAATAATAAGATCATATCGAAATAGGCAGCAGTGACCTAACGTAACTCCTAAGCTAAGGCAAGCTTGCAAATAGGCAACTGTGGAATCAGGTAGACACGGTTTCAAAATTGTTCATAATTATGAATATATAGTTTAAAAATTATGAACATATAGTTCTATAATTATGAGCATAGAGTTGTGAATATAATTATAAACATATAATTCTGTAATTATGAATATAGAGATTCAATAATAGTGAATATGAAGTTTAAAAAGTATGAATATATAACTTTATAATTATGAACATATAGTTCAATAATTATGAACATAGAGTACAGTTCTGTAATTGTGAATATAGAGTTCAATAATTCTGATTATGAAGTTCAAAAATTATGAATATATAATTTTATAATTATGAACATATAGTGTGATGGCATCCCGGTTACCCATCCAAATGGATGGTCATAGGTTCGAACTCCGGTGGTGGGACTTAGATTCTTTGTGCTGAAAATGTTTGAGAAAGTATAGAACAAATATTACCTTATAAAGAATTATGAGTATTTAAAAAAAATAAAATAATTATGAACATAAAACTGTGTCCACTTTGGATACGGTTCCACATCATAACGATTGCTTGTAATACAACTACAAATCTGGAAGAAGCACGTGTTCAACTACCAAAGCATAGTAGGGACATTATGTTATGGGACGACATTTATATTGAATGGTGTGAGTAGATGACAAACAACCATATACTAATTAATAATACTATGCTGTCACCATATTTATTGCATACGTTACGTACTGCTAACACCTTTATCGTGAGTTTACTTCTCAAGTCAAGATGGAGATGTAAGGGAATTGAAAAGGATACTACAACAAGAATTAAGGCTTGGCGTGAAAAAGGTTCAATATTTTTAATGGTCGGTCATGTCGATAATTTTACCAGTAACCTATTAATTATTGATAAATTAAACTTATTTGATTTATTTTGACAAATTCAAATGTTTAATTGCACTTTTTAAAATTCAATAACCTATCAATATATTTTTAGTGACTAGCTATGAGAGAAATTCTTAGCCAGTAAAAATAAGAACAAAACTTTTCAAATTAAAGTCTTTAGGTTTTTTAGTTTTTAACTTTCCTTTATATTATAAACGGGTTAATATGATAATATTAACAGGTTAAATATGTTCTTAATAGGTTTAACGGGTTGACCCAGAACATGTTAAGGCTAATCACTAATCCGTTATTTTTTGTTTTCAATTTTGTGTCGTGTTAACGGGTCGTATCGATAATTACCAATTCTAATGATGAGTGAGGTCAATTGATCATACTCAAGTTTTGAATATAAGTATTAATTTAAAAAAAAAAAAAATTGTTGTTGAAATATATATAACTTGGATTTTCATTTTGGACACCATTGAAATTATGAAAAGTTTATAGTTGTACAGTGATAAATAAATAATACGGAGTAAAATGTTATAATTATTTAAGAAGAATAGTTAACTTTTATTAGTATTCTAAAATTCAAACCTGTAATCTTATTGCTACATTAATCATTCGTTTAATTACCAATTGCATCAAGTTACTAGGTTAATATTTAATCTTTTTAAGGGTGTGTTTAGTTCATAAGTTTAGCTATCAGAAATGAGAATTAAAGTCATTGTTATTGTTTGGTTGATAAGTTTTTAAACGCAAATTATGTTGTGTAACCGTGTGTACCATGCACCATGCATGGTGCACACGGTTGCAAAACAACACTGTTTACTGTGATGGAGTAACGGTGCCATTAGCGGCACCATGTAACTCCACCAGTCAAATAATTTATTTATTTATTTATTTATTATTTTTATTTGTTTACAAAAACTCCAATCGACATGTAATTATGAATATATATAGTTTTGCAAGTCTGAATATTAGTTATGAAGTTATGGATATATAGTTATGAAGTTATGGATATATAGTTTTGAAATTATGGATGTGTAGTTATGCAATTATGGATATAGTTCTCTGTGAACAGGCACTTTAAGAATTCTAAATATGGAGTTATGTAATTATGAATGTCTAGTTGTGAAATTATGAATATATGGATATGAAATTATGAATTTGTAATTATTATTTCTGAATGTACTGTTGTCAAATTATGAATATATAGTTATGTAATTCTGGATATATAGTTATGTAATTGTGGATATATAGGTATGAAATTATTGATATATCCTACTGTTTGAATACGAAAGGGAACCACCTAATGCCGTTAACGACAATCCGAACGGAATTTTTTTTGAATGAAACGGCGTTGTTTTGCAACCGTGTGCACCATGCATGGTGCACACGGTTGCACAGCATAACGATTGGTTTTTAGAATATTATTATAGGATTTGATTACCCCCTTAATTAGAAAACATATTCCCTAATAAAAATAAAGGTTTCATTCCATTATTTCCCTTCTAACTCGTAATTTGATTTTTAAGTTTGGATTATTGCTTTTAGATTTTTTTTTTTTTTTGTTCATATTAGTGCTTTGGATGTCTTTATATTATAATAAATTGTCCCCATTCTTTTGTTCTTGAATTTTTAAAACATTTACTCCCATTATAGGATCATACATAACCAAATAGCAATATCAGTAATCATCCCAATTCCACCATATTACCAAACATGAAAAATACTTTCACCAAAACTCATTACCATTATCAAATATTTGATTCTCATTCCGACTTCGATCCCCATGTGCGAACCAAACACACCCTAAATTAATCATTAATCATGTTTGAAAATAAATATCTATTACTTTGGTATATTGTATGATTGAATAAATGTTCAATGAAAAAAATTAAAAGTAATGAGAAAATACGACAATAAAATTTTTAAATACATTATGAACAAAGAAAGAAATGAAAAATAAAAAATTGTAAAGAATTAAAGAAAATAAACATAATGTTCAAAATTATTATA